AACAACAACATCAAGAAACACAAAATGACAATTAAAAGCAAAATCCGCAAATTTATAAACACAAAGAAACCGCATGAAACAAAATAACAATAAATGGCTTGGTGAGAATATTAAATAATAACAATAAATGGCTTGGTGAGAATATTAATACTCGTAACTACAACAAAAATCATATTAGGTATATTTCACATTTTTTACATCATTATTTATTTTAGCAAATTTCTATGTATTTTAACATTTATGTTTTTTATATCTGAATTTCTATATTTTTTATTGTTTAGATTTTTTTGTATTTTTTTTAGATTTATTAAACTTTTGAAATGTTATTTTTTAATTTTATTTTTTCTATATATTTAGTTATTTCTGGAATTTTTCATGCATCTTGTTTTCAATATGTGTACCTTTTTTACTATATAAAATTCTAATTGTTTTTTACATCTTTAGATTTTCATTTTTATAGTTTATTTAATATATTTTTCATAATTTTTAAGATTTTAGATTACTTAAATCTCCAACTCATTTCTCTTTACATTCTTTTTTTTATAATATTTATTTTGAAGCTCACATTTTTATTTTTAAGATTTTTTAAAATAAGCTTGCATTTTCTCTTATTTAGAATTTTTCTATAATATATATTCATGGAGTATATGGGCCTGGACCCCAGGACCCACATACTCAGAAGGATAAGAGGCACAGTTGTCACTCAGTCGGGCCTCCGTCGGCCAGATGGCCCCCCATCGGCCAGAAAAGTATCAACTCAGAACATGGTCCAGAGATCAGGAGAATCAGGTGTGCCCGTCGGCCGGGGCTCCGTCGGCCATGGCCGCGTCGGCCACAAAAGGTTCCTAGAACCAAGTTTTGCACTTAGTCATTCCTACATATCTTGTACTCAGCCTAATAGTGGCCCAATTGTAAATGGGCCTCCGAAACCCAAGACTTGAGAGCCCAGCCCTAATTTCCTCTATAAATACTCCCCTTGGGAGTAGTTGTAGGGGGTTCACAAATCATTAATACAAAGCATTTACTGCACTTCTCTCTCTAGCTCTCACTTTTCTCTAGGAGTTAATACTCCATCATTTGGTGCTTTCATTGAGAGCTAGAACAATCAAGTTAGCCTCTTTCGTCGCTACCAAGCACAGCTAACTGATAATGGGAAGAACTAAATCTAACCGCAACCTCCTCGGCAAGGCCATCCCTGGGGCCCAAGAGGACCGGGAACACGAGGAGGACGCTACGGCCGACAAGGCACCCGACAAGGATGTCTTCCAGGAAGCCATCGGCCTCACAACTGACCTGCGCAACAAGCTCAACGACGGCGCCCCAGATGCCGACATCAGCTTGGAAAAGAAGCGCGCAGAAAAGGGTTTCAACGTCTCGGGGCAACCGGCTTCTCCTGCCGTTGACCCTCCGCTCCAAGCCACGCTCTCGGCCATCATCGCCAGCTTGGCCCAAAACCCCACTGTCATGCCAAGGACAGGGTAGAACACGACCCCGCCTCCTCAACCCCAGCCGTTGGCTATCAGGATAGGCAATGACGAAAGGGTGGTACCCCAGGACACGACGTCATCGTGAGCCTGGCTCACCCAGGGCGTGGAAAAGCCTCAGCCTTTAACAGGCTAGGTGACACGTTTCGTCGGCCTGCTTCAGAGAGGATGGCGGGGCGGATTGGTCAGCGTGAGCCTGGCTCACCCAGGGAAAGCTTGGGGTCGGTATCCCGGACATCCGATCGGCCCCGCCTGGGCAAAGGCAAGGGAAAGCTGCATGTGGGTGATGCACGTCACCAGATTAACACGGCTCACGCAGCCCGCTTGCAGACACTGGGAGCCACCATGGCGGCCAAGGGCGCCATGGACGAGGTGATCGCCCAACTCAAGCGAAGGCTCGCTCAGATGGAGGCCAAACAGCTGGCCGCCACGCCCACCAGCAACTCATCCAAGGATCCCGGCTTCAACGCCCTTCTGCACAAAGTCAGCGTCCTCGAGAGGGAGTTGGCTGAAGGGCGAGGAGACCCCATCGTCCAAATCAGGACGAGGACTCCTTTCACTTCCAGGGTACTCTCGACCCCCATCCCCGAGAAGTACTGGGGAAACGCCATCAAGCCCTAGGACGGCCGCTCCGACCCCGAGGAGCACTTCAGCCGCTACCAGCATAACATGCTGTTGGTGAACGCGTCAGATGAATACCTCTGCCGTTGGTTCATTTCCACTCTGGAGGGACCGGCGTACGAGTGGTTCAACGCGCTCCCCAAGGGAAGCATCAACTCATGGCAGGAACTTGCCCAACGCTTCCTCACTCACTTTGCCGAGAGGAAGCGCGCGAAGAAATATTTCACCCATCTTCTCTCCATCAAGCAACAACATGACGAATCACTCCGGTCATTCATCGACCGATGGACGAGGGAGACCGATCAGGTCGAGGGGCCCGATGAGCGCACCCTCTTGGTCCTGTTTCAGGGCGCCCTCCGCAGCACCCCATATGCGAGGAGTCTCATCACTGACACTCGAAGGTCCTACATGAAGGCACTTTAGCGGGGAAACTTATACGCTGACGCTGACGAGCTCCATAGCCACAAGAAGGACGGAGGGCACCCCTCCAAGAAGACAAATGATGCGCCATCTCCAGGCGCACCCTCGGTCGGGGACCGAGGTCAGGGAGGACAAAGCCGCCATGGATCTGGTGGGAAGAACAAAGACCGCATATGGCGGCCGAGGATGGAAAGGCCGAAGACCCCACTCACTCATTCGGTCAGCTCCATCCTCGATTACGCCGAGGGGCACGACCTCATTGAGCGAGATCCTCAGTCGGCAAAGGAGATCTATGTCGTCCATCAGGGCGGCACCTACTGTCGTTACCACCGAAACGCCTCCCACAACACAGACGACTGCGTCACGCTGAAGAGAGCCATCGAGAAGCTGACTCGTCAGGGGGAACTCTCCTAGTTTGTTAAGGGTGGCCCGCGCAAAAATACGTGGGTAAACACCGGCAAACATGGGGGCGAACCCTCCGCGAAGAAGCGTAAGATCGGCAGACTCAACGATGACGACGAAGATTTTGAAGAGCCCCCTCTGAAGAAGAACCACATCCACCTCATTGTGGGGGGCAACACTGGGGGGACTCGGCCACCGAGAGGAAGAAATGGGCCTAATCCATTTACATTGGGGAGGTGTCCCACGCTCCCCTCCCCCCCGCCGAAGAAGCAGCGGGCGGAGGAGATCACCTTCACCGACAAGGATCTGCCTCCGGGACCCGCATCACACAGGGATGCCCTCATCATCCGGTGTGAGATAGGTGACTCTATCATCCACCGCACCTACATCGATACGGGGAGCTCCGTCAACGTCATGTACCTTGACATATTCAAGCAGCTAAAGCTAGACAAAGCATTGTTCAAGCCGATACGGACACTGTTGTCCGGCTTCACCGGAGACTCTATCGACGCTGAAGGCACGATAGTCCTTCCCGTGGAGGTTGGCGACGGCTCCCATCGCGCCAAAATTGGCATGGAGTTCATGGTGGTCAACCTCGAGTGCGCCCACAACTTGATATGGGGGCAGCCAGCACTAGAGGATCTGGAGGCCATCATCTCCATAAAACATATGTGCCTAAAGTTCCCTACCAGCGGCGGTATCGGCTACGCCCGGGGAAACCACAAGATAGCCCGAGCATGCTACCTAAAGCTTACAAAACCGGCAGCTAGCGCCGGGCAGAGAATAGACACCATCACCGCCACTGTCACCAAGGATGAGGAGAGGCCACACGCCGAGCCAGCCGAAGAGGTCGAGGAGGTCCCCCCTGGACACCTCCCAGCCAGAGCGGGTCCTAAGAATCGGGAAGCAACTCCCACAATACCAACGCGACGGCATCATCAACGTCCTGCGATCATATGCAATAATTTTTGTGTGGGGCCGGACGATATGCCTGGCATCAGCCAAAAGGTGATCACTCACCGGCTGTCAGTCGATCCTGCCTCCACGCCGAACAAGAAGAAGCGGCGCTACCTTTCAGCCGACAGACGGGACTTCGTCAAAGGGGAGGTCACCATGCTCCTCTCAATCAGCCACATCAAGGAGGTGAAGTACCCAACGTGGCTGGCCAACGTCGTCCTCGCTCAAAAGCCGCTGACGTTCAGGATGTGTGTTGACTACACTCATTTGAACAAGGCATGCCCCATGGACCCATTCCCTCTCCCCAATATTGATCAATTGGTGGACGAGACGGCGTGATGCGAGTTGATGTCGTTCCTTGACGCCTTCAGGGGGTACCACCAGATATTCATGCATGAAGATGACACCGAGAAGACGACCTTCCTGACCCCGGAGGGAATTTTCTGCTACCTCTTCATGGCCTTTTGGCTCAAAAACTCAGACGCCACATATACCAGGATGGTAGCCAAGGTCTTCAGAGCATTACTCGGCCGGACGATGGAGGCATATGTTTACGACATGATCATCAAGAGAAAGCAATCTACCACTCATGTTGACGACCTCCGGGAGATCTTTGAAATCATTAAGAAGTTCCAACTCCGCCTGAACCCAAAGAAGTGCACCTTCGGCGTCCAAGGGGGCAAGTTCCTCGGCTACATGGTCAGCCGAAGGGGCATTGAAATCAATCCGGAGAAGATACAGGCCATTGTCAATATGGATCCACCACGAACTGTGAAGGAGGTACAACGGCTGACGGGACGCCTTGCGGCCCTGAACCGTTTTCTCTCGAAATCGGCTGAAAGGTCCCTCCCTTTCTTTCAGATCATGCGCAAGGCAAATGGATTCAGATGGACGACGGAGTGCCAACAAGCATTTGAGGAACTGAAGCGGTACCTATCGTCCCCTCCTGTGCTTTCTAAACCCAAAGCCGGTGAAACCCTCTTCTTGTACTTGGGGGTGAGCACGTCGGCCATCAGCTCCGTGCTCATCCGCGAGAATGAAGGGGTACAAGAGGCAATTTTCTACGTAAGCAAGATGTTACAGGAGGCCGAGCTCAGGTACTCCCCCATTGAGAAGACGGTACTGGCCATCGTCCATACAGTGAAAAAGCTAGGGCACAACTTCCAGGCCCATGCCGTCTACGTCTTATCTCAGCAACCCCTCGACGCACTCATGCGGAGCCACACCAGTTTCTCACGAATGGTGAAATGGGCGATCTTCCTCAGCCAATTCCAGACCGAAATTAAGCCGAGGCCATCCATCAAGGGGCAGGCCTTGGCTGATTTCGTCACCGAGTGCACAGCCAGGGAGACGGCCGCTACCACACCCGGACCAGAGCCATACGAAGCATGGACTCTCTTCACTGACGGTTCATCGGCCGCCAAAGCATGCGGGGGTGGCGTCATCCTCATTTCCCCTGAAGGAATCAGAGCCTATTATGTCATCCGCTTCAACTTCATGGTATCCAACAACGAAACCGAGTATGAGGCCCTCCTCAGACTCGCCGCCAGCCTAAAGCGCGACACATCAAAATCAATTGCGACTCCAAGCTAGTCATGGGCCAGATCGAGGGCTCATACGAGGCCAAGGAGGGGAGGATGAGATAGTACAAGTAGGCGGTCGAGGAGCTGCACAAGGCATTTGAAACCCATGAGATCACCCAGATCCCAAGGGCGGAGAATGCTGAGGCCGACATCCTCTCCAAACTCAGTACAGACACTCCAGAACACATCTCCAAGATAGCCAAGGTCGAGGAGCTGAGCATGTCCAGCATCCATGCCTACCCGGTCATGTGCATCCGACATCGGCCGGAGGACTGGATCACCGACATCACAACCTTCATCACCTCGGGAGAACTGCCCCAGGACGAGGAGAGAGCCAAGCTAGCCAAAATCAGGGCCCCAAGCTACACCATCGAGGATGGGAAACTTTACAAAAGATCTTACAACGGCACTCTCCTCCGATGCCTGCTCCCAGATGAGGCCGAAATGGCCATGGAGGAAGTCCATTGTGGCATCTGCTCCTCACATCAGGGCCCTTTCAGCATGTCCCGGCGTCTCGTCGTCCAGGGCTATTTCGGGCCGACGATGGCGCGGGATTGTGCCAATCTTGCAAGGAAGTGTACTGCATGCCAGGTCCTTCAAAAGGCCCTGGTCGGCCAGCCGTCAACTATGCACCGGTCAGCACCGCAATCCCATTCTCAAGATGGGGAATCGACCTGGTCGGCCCCTTGCCCAGAGCCGCTGGCAACAACCACTACATCATCGTCGCAGTGGACTACTTCACCAAGTGGGTCGAAGCGAAACCTTTGGCCAGCATTACAGGGGTTAGATGCCAGAGGTTCGTCCACAAGAATATCATTACCCACTTCGGCGTCCCCCAGGAGATAATATCCGACAACGGCACCCAGTTCGAGGCCGCACCCTTCCAAGAGCTCCTCCAGGAGTGGGGAATCAAGCACCGTTTCTCCTCCGTTGCCTATCCTCAAGGTAATGGGCAAGTTGAGAACGCCAACAGAACCATTCTGGAGGGCCTGAAGAAGACGCTCCAGGACGCAGGAGGCAGCTGGGCCGACGAGCTCCCCAATATTCTGTGGTGCTACCGTACTATGCCGAGGAGGGCGACGGATGAAACACCTTTTGCCCTTTGTTATGGCTTCGAGGCAAAGGCACCAACAGAGGTCACTATACCTAGCCAACGGGTGCAGCAGTACGAACCTGAAGCCAACAAAGAAAACATGAAGATCGACCTCCACCTGATCGAAGAACGACGAGAGCAAGCCTTCATTCGGGCAGAAAACTACCGGTGTCAAGTGAAATCATACTATGACCCTAGGGTACGTTCCCAGGAATTCCAAGTGGGGGGCTATGTCCTTCGCCGAAGGGAGGCGAGTAGGCCAACGGAAGGTGGCAAACTGGCACTCAAGTACGAAGGCCCATACATCATCAGCACCGTAGTCAAGCCCGACACCTACAAACTAAAACACCAGAATGGGTCTAATGTACCACGAACGTGGAATGTACATCACTTGGTGAAATTCTATCAATAATCCGAGGATGGCGCAGCCGGCAAAGCCCTCACTTTCCCACGGGTTGTTGATCGAATGCCACCCTCGGCCTCGAGCCACTTATCAATGAAAGTTGTATTCTACTTACTTTTTTCTAAAAAAGTTCAAGGAAAAAACACTATATTACATCGACCCCTTAGAGCGAAAATGCTCAGGAAAGGCCGACAGAGCACACCGTATCGGCCCCTTAGAGCGAGACGCTCAGGAAAGGCCGACGGTGTCCCCAGTACGAGGGGCCCGCAAAGAGCCCGTGTCTTGAAATGGGAAGCTCACCGCGTCGTCCACTCGCGAAATCGCAGGACGACAGGTCTGAAATCATGGCCAAGGTGAAAAAAATCCCCAAACTTAGGGATGAAAACGGCAGCCGTCGGTAACCGACCAAAAGCCTTAGCACGCGTCATAAATAGGTAACGGAACCTCCCTGAGATCACAGGACGATCCAGTAGGACTCCTTACCGGCCGAGGGACTATCGACCCCCTTGGCCGAAGCCTGAAAGAAGGATGTCCACTCCTCGCTCCAAGTAAAGAGGAACACAATAAAAGAGGGACAACCAAAGGACCGTGCACTTGCCGGCCTGAAGCGATATCCCAAAAAATAAAAGAGGGACAGCCGAAGGACCGCGCACTTGCCGGCCTAAAGCGATATCTCCAAAAATAAAAGAGGGACAGCCAAAGGGCCGTGCACTTGTCGGCCTAGAGCGATATCCCCAAGCACAAAAGAGGGAAGCCGATGGACCGTGCACTAGCCGACTATGAGCAATAAAAATAAAATCCCCAAAATTGACTAAGTACATATCAGATAAAATGAAAAATGTAAACTTAATACCACCCACCCAAGCCTAGCCCCGGGCAATCCTTGGACGAAGCGTGCACTTGCAAACCATCCCAAAGACACTTGGAAAATTCCCATGTGGCACTCGGATGGGCGAAACAAGGGTCATCACCCTCACCGGCCACAACAAGGTGAAATGAGTACATGATCACTCAACACTTGCATATTTTCTAAGTATGGAGGGATAACAGGAGAAAGTACACAAGCCGAGGGAGACACTAAGGCGTGCAAAGTTAACCACCTATTTCCATTAAAGGGATAGTACAGACGAAGCATACACGCACAAGTTTCCCAAGATCAAAACCTTCCATCGTTCAGGCAAATACTATACATCATGGACGAAAGCATTCATACAGCAAAAAAAACTTGGACAAAATCTCCAAGGTAAACTCTAGTGGCCGACGAGGGCACGAGATAGCCGGCATGTAACTAAAATGGTCCAGGGGAAACTCACTCAGCCGACCCAAGGGCGAAGCCTGTCATCAGCCCAACACTTAGAAAATTTTCCAAGTATTTGGAAAAATTCCCAAGGGGCACCCAGAACGCCCGACGAGGGTCCTGAGGCCGAAGAAAGGGCCAACAACCACCATCGTCCACACTAGGACTAAGCAGCTATACTCTAAGCTAAACACTTAGAAGTATTTTCATAAAATGTGGGATGCCAAACATTACAAAGACGAAGAAGACATCTCCCCCTCAGCCGAACAAAGGGCAGGACGCTTCATCGGCCACGACTACAGGAAGCACGTTCCTGAGTTCTTGTTTGACACTTAGAAAAATGGCAAGTAAAATAAAAAGGGTGGGGAATGACACAAGACGAAGAATACACAAAGGCCAGAAGCAACGACTATTTCCATTCATTTGAAATTCATTACACAAGGGGGGCACATCGGCCTTTACAAAAAAAAAGTAACTAGTACAGATACAAAGTACAAAACAAAGAAGAGCCAGTCGATCAACTCCCCTGACTGGCCTCCTTGGCGGCCTGCTCCACAACGCCTTGTTCGGTGACACCCTCACCACCTTCCTCGGCGGCAACACTTGCGCTGGTTTCGGCACTAGAGGCAGCAGTATCCCCCAAGACATCGTCATCGGACCAGTCAGATTCGCCGATGGAGGAACTTAGCACCGGGGCCTGCCTTTCAGAGGGAGGAAGTTTCACCTCCTCCTCTGGGTCCCTCATATTCTTGGGAAGCTTCAAGTGAGTCCGAGCCCATTTTCGGGTGAGCTTCAGCACCTTAAGGCCACGACGCAGCCTCCGGTAGATCAGCCGCTGCATCCGCTGCTGGCCCATGTCGTAATAAACTGGCATCTCCCTTTGGAGGTAATCTTGGCTGGCAGGGCTGTTCTGGCCCCAGTCTTCTAGCCGGTCCACCACAGCCTCGTAGCATCAGGGCCGACGGTCTTCCGTTTTCCAGCCTTCGGCCAGAAATTTCTCAACTGCGGCATCAACAGCTTTCCTCAGCAGCCTTCTCGGCTTCAGCTTGGGCCTTCGCGGCGTCCTCCGCTCAGAGTAGGGCTTCATCACGGCCCTTTAGCGCCTCATCTTTTACCCTCAGGGCGTCGTCCCTATCGGCCGCAACTTGGCGATAGGCCACGTCGGCTTCATCTGCCCTGTTCTTCAGGGTCTCTACTTCGCCCCGGAGCCGATCTAGGCAGGCCATGGCCTCCTCGGCCAAAGCAGCTTTCTGCTCAGCCTCTTTCAGCCGAGCAATCTCTTGTTCCTGCCTCTTATAGCTCTCCATCAGCATAAGGCCCCCCTGCAATGAATGGAAAGGTTAAGACGATGCAGACACTCACTACAACAAAAGGCAAAAAAAAAATAGTAAAGTACAGGGAACTTACTTGGACGACGAGGTCCATCCCACCGTCATAAATCCTGACGAGGCCAAGCTTCTTCAGATAAGCCCGGTCCTTGACCGGGACGACTTGAGCAAGCACATCGTGGCCGTCGACGACGTCGTTGAAAACGCCACCCTTTACATGGTACTCAACCTCCAGCTTATAGGTCCCGACGACAAGCTCCTTCCCGGCCCTCTTCTTCCGGGAGTCCTGGCTGATAGGGGGCGGCTGGGACATAGCAGTCAACGAAGGGGCAGAAACCATGTCGACAACAGCAATGGCATTGGAACCCCCAGCATCTTCAGCCGACGTAGTCAAAGCCCCGGCGTCAGCTTCGGCCGAAGGAAAAGCCCTCTTCGTCTTCTTGGAAGGCTGCATACCAGCCTCGGTCAGTTTCTTCTGACCTTCGTCCACTGGCCGCTTTTTCTTCGGCTAGGTGGGCGGTTTCTTCGTCACATCCGAGCTCGGTTGCGCGCCACTCGCAGCGGCCAGCTTCGCAGCCTCCTTGGCGGCCATGTCCTCCTTCGCCTTTGCCTTAGCTAGGGCCATAACGGATATGCGGTCCATTACAAAGTATGCATAACAAAAAGAAAACAGTTAGCAAGGAGGAAAAACCAAATGAAGACAAGGACGCCGAGGAGGGTATTACCATCAGCTTCGGTAGGCACGCTTAAATCCGGGCCATCGGCCTCCTCAAAAGTGGTGGTCATCCTCGGCCATATCTCGGTGTCACTCTCCTTGCCATATCTCGGTGTCACTCTCATTGTCATCCTCAAAAGTACCTCATAAAGCCGATGGAGGTCATTTTGTACTCCGTAATGTATTCTTTCACACTCCTCGGCCCTCCCTTCAAGAATGTCGTCACCTGGGCATCTAAGATGCTACTCTTCGGCACATCATGGAGGTTAAATCTCCCGTCATGGCCGATGGAGGGAAATTCGGTGCCACCCTCGCCCAAGGACACAAAGACGAACTTACTCTTCCAGCCATGAATGGACGAAGGAAGATCGGTGAAGGACCTCTTGTTCTTTATCTGCTGGAGGGTGGCGTAACAGGCACAATTCTTGTGGCTCCCTCGGCCGATCTGGTACAAATTCATAAACAGGGCCGTTGTCGGCCTAAAGTCCAACTCATCACAGCGAAGGAGGAAGCCGACGATGAGTGAATAGCTGTTTGGAGTCAACAAGGCCGGAGGGAGACCCACCATGTCCAAGTACTCCGTGATGAACGGATGGAGGGGAAACCTAAGCCCCTTAGCAAAGCTCATAGGGTATACTCCAAAGTACCCCGGAGGTGGATTCAACACGTGGTCCGTCGGCTTAGGGGCCTTAACCCTTCCATACGGCCCCACATACATCTGGGCCACCAAGTAATCAGCCGCGCAGCTCTCCGGCTTGATCAGGTAGATGTTCGTGAGGTCCAGGTAGGAATAACCTGGACCCTTCTTCGGATGGCGCCTTCTCGTCAGGGCGGTCCCCTTAACGGCAGAAACCGGCTTCGGCACGGGAGACCACTACGTCCTCACCTTCAGACGACGAGGCGGCCTCTTCGTCTTCACCCTCATTGTCCTCTTGCTGCCATGACTTGAAGGAGCTCAGGTCCTCTATCCCCTCGCAACATTCTTCTACTACCCGGTAGTCAAGGGACTTAACGGAGGCCTCATCGTCATATGGGTAGTACTCATCGTCCAAAGGTTTCATCATAACAACTAGCTAAAGCCTAGAGGGGATTACTTTGGATCTAAGGGTGATTTTCTACTAACACTAGATCAAGGCCCTATGAAAGCAAAGTATGCAAGAAATCGGAGGAAAGTGTGATGAACTGACCTTTAGATGTTTGAAGTTTTGAAGAACACTCGAACAACCTTTATCTCTCTAGAATTGGGCAGCACTTCGTTATCTCAAGAATGCAATTGGGAGCTTCTTCGGAGGGAGAGGGGTATTTATAGACCTCCCCCCCCCCAACGGTCACTACACGTGGCACACATCCGTTAGCCACATGAACGGCCACCACCCCAAGGCCCATTAGGCTGGCACCGGTTCAAAAAGGCGTGTCAGGCCCACTTTCATCAGTACCAGCCCATTGCCAACGTGACAGTAATCAGCGTCCATAACGGCCAACCACTCAACGGCCACACCAAGAAAGCACACCTACATCGGCCTCAACACAAAAATGATTTCAAAACGGTAGGTCACACCACAAAAGTGTGCCCATATCGGCCCAAACAGAATACCAATAGCATGGCCCCTTCAACGGCCACAACAACAAAGAAAAAAACAACTCCACAGCCATCGGCCTCGCATACACCTTGATGATAACTGCTTGAAAGCAACCTGCATCCAAGGGTTCTCCCACAAGATCACCATCGTCCATGAGATCAGGATACGCACTACTCCTTCCGGATGAGTGTCGTTGTCATTCTCAAAAGCATGGACACCAAGCTACGGATACCACCGCTCCGGCCTAAAGCATAAAGCAATCGCGAGGCCTCCTCGGCCCATCCATCAAAGGCAACCGTTGATGACCGAAAACGACAGCACCCGCATCGGCTATTCAAATCAAGAGCTCATATCGGCCACTGAGGCAGGACACTCATCGTCCTCAAACAATCTTTCCCCATCAAAGGAACATTAGCCCTCTTCGTCCACATTAGCCCTCTTCGTTCAAAAATGATAAACCCGTTCGGATATCGGATTGATAATTTCAAACCCTACCCTATCAAAAAATTTATCGGTTTTTTTCATGTTGAAGAAATTCGGGTGCCGGTCGGGTTGATTCGGGTTTCGGGTCCATTCGGATTTTAATTTATTATTGTTGAAATTGTGATAAATAAAATGGTAATTGGTAAAAGTATCATTCGAAGTTATACTAGTATATCATTCAAAGTAATAGTTGTATAAATACGGTAATCGACATATTTGAACATGTAAAATAATAATTTACGGTGATTGGCATAATTGATATTGTGATAAATAAAATGATAATTGGTCAAAATATCATTCAAAATCATAACAATACAACATTCAAAGTTATAGTTGTACTAATACGGTAATTGGAATATTTGAACATTCATAATATGGTAATTGACATATAATAATTGAGATATGTGAACATGCATAATAATTTAAAGTAGTATACATACTATGCTAGTTCGGTTTTTCGGACGGATCAGGTAGCATAATTGTAACACCGACCCCGAGCATATTTACTTTTAGTAAATTATGTAATAAACCTTGAAGGATGATTTGAGAAATTGCGTGATTGTAAATTTTTATTAATTCTTTTACGTGAATAGTAAACTGCATGTGGGGCCCACAGCGGGAACGGGGACCGCCCGATAATTCCCGAACCACATATTATATTCATCTTGGTCTAGATGACATCTATATAGTGATGGACACTCTATTTGGGCCATAAGAAAGCATGGAGTTGACCGGTTGGTCAAATGGGGCCCAATTACCGGTATTGGTAATTTAGCGGATAACAGCCCGAAATGAGTTTCGGAGACTCCTAAATTAATGTTGGGGAATATACATCTATTCTAAAGGCCCATAATTATTTGGAACGCCTAATATATTTTATTTGGTCCGATAAAATAAATATGATTAAAACGGGCCGAAAAATGCAACTTTCGGGACCGATTGTGCACTTCTGGACAAAAAGGGGTGACCTCCCACACAAGTGGGGGCCAACCCACGAAATTTCCAAGATCTTGGAGGCTGGCATGAGCTAAATTGTGGCTGAAGTCCATTGAAGGGATGTGGGAGACCATCGTGACACCTAAGGGACCCCTAACCTCACCCAATTGTCAACCAAAGACAAAAGTACCATCCTCCCTCCTCTCCCACTCATTGTACTCGTCCAGCACCAAGAAAGGAAGGCCAAGGAGCTCTGAAAATCTCACCTTCCATAGCCAACTCGAGCTCAACCTCAAACAAGAAAAAGAAAGAGGTTTGGAGAAGAAGAAAGTTAGGAAAAGTGTAAAGAATCAAGGTAATGACCTCATACTAACTTTTTCTCTACTTCTTAGCTACCCTAAGACTTATATATCATATTGAGGACCCCTAGGATTGTTCTTCATGTTTAGAAGTGTAGAACAAGGGGTTGGAAGGTAGTTCTAAGTCCAAGAACGGACTTAGAAGCCAAATGACCGGTTCGCCGGAAAATAACCTTTTAGGGGTTATTTGTGTTGATATGGGTTTTGTGATGATAAAACCTTGTTAGGAGCTTGACTAAAGTGTTCCTAACTTTCGCCGGAGTTTCGCCGGAGTCTCGTCGGAGTTTCGCCGGAGTTCACCGGAGTATTGCCGGAGTTCAACCTAGAAGGGTAGAGCTTCTTCAAGCAAATTCGAGGTGAGGATGGCTGACTATATTGCTTATAATTAGTGAGTTAATTTCATGAGATTATCGAAGGTAATTAAATGTGTTTTTATGGATTATTAATGATTAATAATGCCTAAAAATGAGAAGACAAATGTCTAAAGGAAAAGGAGCATGATATACAAATTTAAGAGTAAATTGTGTATGATCATGTGTTATGAATATGTTAACTTGAAAGTAGAATTAATTATGAAACATATGTTGAAATATACTTTTTCTTCATATTGGAATATATGAGTGATTAAAAGTGATATTTTGAATATTGAGATAAATGATATTTTCAAGGGAAAATCAGTTGGAATTGTCTATATGACTATAAATTGAGAACTTGGTTTGTTGGTATTAATTTGACTAGTATTAAGATACTAGTTGGACATTAAGATGAAATGTTGTTAAGATTATCCTAAGGTTGGATTGTGAAATGTTATGCCTTAAGTAGTCTTAAGAGATGCTTTAAGGTAGGAAAGTATGAACTCTAAGTTATACTAGGGGTAGGCCTTAAGGGATACCCAAGATAAAGTAAGTAATAAATTGATCCTAAGTATAGGATTGACCTACGGGTGTGTTCGGTAGTCCTTGTGGATAGCCGGTTGAATTATGGAAATAGTAAGGACCATGGCCCTTCCCGACTCTAGAGAGCGGGGTTGGATAGCATGGACTTACATCGTGATCACGGGTTAGGGTGGAATCCGAATCGGAGACCTAACTAGGTTCTGGTAGCGGTAACACATAAGATAGGACCCCGAAGGGCCTTACCTTCCTACGGGATGATGGGTATGAGTCCAGGGGCGGGATGTTGGAGTCCGAACCGGGAGCCTCATGAGGTCTCGGACAGCGGTAGCAAGTCCCGTAGAAATAATAAGACCCAAGGGTTGGGTTGTGCAAATGATAAATGAAAAAGGGATATATAAGAAGGGCCGTGTGCCGACAAATAAATAAGTTTACTTATTATAAAGATAATAAGTGGGAAATATAAATTATTATTTATATTATGATATCACCCTATTTTGAGGGTCTTGGAAATTAAAACGTTGATTATATTTAGTATAGTTGCTATTGTACTTGTCAAATATTTCCAAGTACTGACCTCCCCTTCACGGGGGAGGCCACCTCACAGTTTCAGGTAGAACTTGAAGGTTGCTACCATTGCCCGTTGCTTCGGGAGGCTCAAGGGAAGAAGACGTGGTTCGTGTTTCTTCCGTTCTGTTTTAAAAACAATTACGTTAATGCTCATGGATACTATTTTCTTAATAATTACTTTGGGGGGATTGTATGCCTAGTTATGCCAAGTGTGGCTTGAACAATTGTATTAATGCTTCCGCTGTTTTAAATGAATGTTTTACATTATGTTTGTTTATGGATGTACTATGTGTGAATGATATTCATGACGCATTGTATAGTATGGATGAGTTGGACTGCAGTTGACTATTCGTACTGTACGGCGGGTTGTTGACGTGTCCGGCTAGGTCTAGGGCGTGACAATTTAATTGGTATCAGAGCCTTAGTCCGTAAACATCATAATGAAGCTTCAAAATTCTTTTTGAAAATGAAATTGAAAACCATGAGCATAAAGTTTTGTACTTATAGAACTTTTGGTACTTGAGTTGCAATGTCTCTAATTGTTAAGATGGTACCCTTAACAATTGGCATGGCGGTGATTTGAGCCAAAGGACGTCTTTAAGTGCCTATCCGTCAATTGACATTTGATTCGAGTCTAACGACTCATTCTCAATTTCTTTCAGAAATGGAACGTACCGGTAAAGTTACTCGACGGAACCCGACTGGCCAGGCGCCGGGAGGATCCCAACGTGGCATCCGAGGAGGGTCGAGGGTGTCTCGGGGACAGGGCCGTGGAGGCCACTCACCAACGGTGAGTGACGGTCATGTGGAGACGATTGATGAGCAATACGAGTCCGAGGAGGATTCAACTTACCAACCGGGAACCGAACCGGTGGAAACCCCATATGATGGGGAAGATGAGGATGTGAGCGAAGAGAGCGACGATAATGACGCTCTTGAAAGAATAGAGGAACTACTCTGACAGTACCACCAAGATCGCCAAAGGTGCCGGGCAAGGCGTGCTTTGGAAGGGTCTTCAAGAAGAGGAAGCCGTGTGACTCCTAAGGAGATCATAGAACCCCGAGGAGGGGGAGGTGCTGAGGTCCCTATAATAAGGATCTCAAAGTACCTCAAAGAGGCAAGAGACATGAGATGTAAACCGTTTGATGGAACGGGGGATATCTCCGTGGCAGCCGAGTGGATCAAAAGATTTAACGAGGCGGCCCTCGACATGCAACTACCACCCCACATGAAGCTGAGAGTAGCCACGAGGCTACTAGAAGGCATGGCGTCCACGTGGTGGGATGGAACAAAAGGGAAGTACGGCGAGGCCGTCACTTGGGAGAATTTCAGATAGGAGTTCTTCAGCCAATACTACTCCGACTTCGAGGTGAACTTGAAGAGGAGGGGGTACACGAATTTGACCCAAGGAGGTGAATGTACGGTGAAGGAACTTGAGCACAAATTCAGAAAGCTTGCTGAGTTCATACCGGAGTACATTTGTGATGAAAACTGAATGGTGAAGCACTTCTGGGATGCCTTGGACCTTGACATACGCGAGAGGGCAA